GGAACTGGTCTTGGAATTGGAATTGTTCTTGGAACTGGAACTGGAATGGGACTGAATGTTTTTGTTTTGGAATTGTTCTTGTTGTGGAATGGAATTGGAATGGAATTGTTCATGGAACTGGGAATTGTTCTGGAATGGAATTAGAACTGGAATTGTTTTTGTTTTGAACTGGAATTGGAATTGGAATTGTGTAATGGATTTTTCTTGTTCTTGGAACTGGAATTGTCTTGTTTTGGATTGGAAATGGAATTGTTCTTGTTTGGGATTGAAATGGAATTGTTCTTCTTATCTTGTTCTTATTCCTGCTTTTGGTTTAGTTCTTTTTCTCCTTTTCTTCTTCTTCTTCTTTCTACTTATTCTCCTTCTTCCTCTTTCCTTTTTTCTTCATTTTCTTTCTCTTCTTCTATTTCTTCTTCTTCCTCTCCTTCTTCCCCTTCTTCTTCTCCTTCCTCTTCTTCTCCTTATTCCCCTTCCTCTTCTTTCTTTCTTCTTCTTCTTTTATTTCTCTTTCAATATCTTTAAAAATCAAGACACGAAGCCGAGGAAGGGAGAGGGGGGGGGGGTAAATCACGCCTGAACTTTGACCTTTGAACTTTGACCTTGATTAGGTGCTTCTAGGCTTGTGATGATCTTTGATGAGCAGTTCTCAGGAATTTAAAAGTTGATGACGATGATGAAAAATAAAAAATAATGATAATGATAATAAGAGTAATGAAAATGATAATGATAATAAGGATGATGTTGATAATAACAATAATAATAACAAAAATGATCATGTTAATAACGTCAATAATTATGTTAATGATAATAATGAATATGATAATGATACCAATAACAAAACAACAACAGCAACAACACACAGAAAGGAAGTGAGAGAAAGAGAGAAGGAAAGAGAGAGAGAGAGGAAGGAAGCGGAAGCGAGAGTAAGAGAGGAGAAAAGAGAGAGAGAGAGGAAGCGAGAGCAAGAAAGAGAGAGAGATACAGAAAGAGAGAACGAAAGAAACACACACAAAGACTACAAAAGAAAAGAAATAAATGAATCAGAGATAAGGAAAGTAGGAGAAGAGAAGAGAAGAGAGGACACCCACTTGAAAGTTTATCTCCCAGGGGACTTTCAGGGGCCTTGATAAAAGATTTAATCTGATGGGTTTCACTCGCCCCTCCCGCTGGACTTTCTACGGGGCTTCCATCTTTTTTTGTTTTTTTTTCTTTCTTTTTTTTTGAGGTAGGGGAAGGGGGAAGGGGGGAGGGGGAGGGGGTTTTGATCGGCTCCAAAGAGTTTTTTTTTTCCATTTTATATATTGGTTAGGTAGTTTTTGTTTTTTTTCTTTTTTTTCCTAGTGTTGTTGATCATTGCATTTACTTTTGCTATTGTTGTTGTTGCTGCTTTTTTATTATCATCATCTTTTTCATTACTGTTGTTATTATAATCATTATTATTTTTTACTATTGTTGTTATTATCATTATATCATTATTATTTTTTACTATTGTTGTTATTATCATTATCATTATTATCATCATTATCATCATACTATTATTATCATCATTATTATTTTTTTACTATTGTTGTTATTATCATTATCATCATTATTATTATCATTATCACCATCCTTATTACGTTTACTATTATCATTATTGCCATTACTATAATCATCATCATTATCTATATCATTATTATCATTACCATTAATATTATCATGCTCATCATTTCTATTATTCGTATGATTGTTGTTGTTATCATGATTATCATTATCATCCTTGTTATCATCATTATCATTACGATCATTATTATTATTATTACTATTATTTTTCATCATTATTAGTGATATTATTCTCTTTATTATAGTTATTATAATTATCATCATCACCATTATCATTATTATAATCATTATTATTATCATTATCATTCACATTATTATCATTACTAGCATTACTGTCGCTATCATTGTCATTACTATCATTATCATTATCATCAGTATTATTACCATCCACATTATTGCAGATTAAATATTTAATTATTATTCATTACGATTATATTATACTTATTTTCTTGGATTTGTTTCACACACACAACACACACACACACACACTACACACACACACACACACACACACACACACACACACACACACACACACACACACACACACACACACACACACACACACACACACACACACACACACACACACACACACACACACACACACACACACACACACACACACACACACACACACACAAACGCACACACATACACACACAAACGCACACCACACACCACACAATAGTGAAAGTCAGCACAAAAAGATTACTTTCCCATCCAGACTCCCCCCACCCCCACCCCCTCCCATTCCTTTCCCCTCTTGTTCCCTTCGACATTAAATCCCGAGCTGATTGGATTAACCTGAGGACGCCGCGTGCTTCCCAGGTAATAACCTTGCTCAGTCGTCTGCGCAAATTTGTTCAATCGATGGACAAAAGGGATCGATGAAAACATCCGAGCGACTGCCCGCGCGTTTATTATAGTCCACGCTTCGAATAAAAAAAAAGAGAAAGAAAACGGGATCAGTTCGCGCTCTCGGAAGAAAACGGAATTCGTTCGTTTAATTTTGGTAGCGAAGTTTTTACTAAAGGACTTTTTCCTAACGACGGCAAACATTAAGCAGACCCTATGCGTGGGCGAATCTTGTTAATGCCTCCGTTATATTGTCATTAAGGCCGCTTTTAGCAAGCCGAAAAAAAATGTACTAATTGCCTAGTATTACGAATAATCCTGTTACCTAAGTAGTCATAGTACATGGCCTAGAAAATATGGATGGATGAGTATTATAGGTACGTATATGTAAGCAAGCTTATGTAAGATTCATGATTACGGTATATTTAGAGCGGTATGTGTATTGTTTTCATTTCTCAACACATATTTCAGAGTTGATTGCAGCTGGGAAATGGTAAGTCGTTGTTAAAATCGCATTTATTTTAGAACAGAAAAATAAGGATCTTAACCAAAAGCGCTTTCTTATATTGTAATTGCTACAATATCGTCTCTAAGCCCCCTCCCCCTTCTCTCTCTCTCTTTCTGTCTGTCTATCCTTCTATCTATCTCTAGTTCTACCTCCGTCCTCCTCCTTCCCCACCCCACATCCACTCTCTCTTCTCTCTCTCTCTCTCTCTCTCTCTCTCTCTCTCTCTCTCTCTCTCTCTCTCTCTCTCTCTCTCTCGTCTCTCTCTCTCTCTCTCTCTCTCTCTCTCTTCTTTTTTTCTTCTTCTTCTTCTTTCCCCTTCTTCCTCGTGGACGTACCTACATACCTACATACTTTCGTATATTTACTCCTTTATCCACCTATCCATCCCTCCTTCCACCCCCCCTCCCTCTTTCTCCCTCTCCGCCCCCCTCCCTAATCAGCCACCCCTCTACCACCCCTACCCTAAAAGACGACCTCCACCTCTCCTCCGAAGCCAGTAACCCGGCTTGCGCGAAGGAGAGAAGGCGACGCCGGCGAGAACGGGCGAGGGAGAGGTTTGTCGCCGCCGCCGAGCACCAAATGAGCCGGAACGCATTCGTGTCGTCGACAAAAGGGTGTTAATCAAGCGAGAGTACAAGTGCGGAAGGTACTACGGCGTCGACCGCGGTTCCTTTGGTTGATGACCTGTGAGGAATGGGTGGGGTTGGAATTGGGTTGGAATGGGTGGGTTTGGATGATGGGTTTGGAATGGTGGGGTTGGAATGGGAGGGTTGGAATTGGGTTTGGAAGGGTTGGAAAGTTTGGATGGTGGTTGAATTGGGGTGGTGGGTTGGAATGGAGGGTTGGAAAGGTGGGTTTGGGAATGGTTGGTTGAATCGTGGGTTGGAATGCGGTGGGTTGGAATTGGGTTTGAAAGGTGGGTTGGGATGGGTGGTTTCGGATTGGGTGGTTTGGTGGGCTGGAGTGATTGGTTGAAATGGTGGGTTGGAGTAGTTTAGTGGCATAGTTTGTTGAAATGGTTGGTTGATGAATGATAAGTACATATGTTGATTCCTTGATCTTTTTTTTGTCTGTTTGTTTGTTTTAAATTGATATAATACCTGTTAGATTAATCTGTTACCTTTTTAACACAGTGCAATAGATACCATGCGTCGTGTATCTGCCTGCCCTGCGTATGCCACGTAAGACTCATTCTTTGTCGCAAAAAGTCCTTCTGTTGCAGACTTTCCTCTCTTTTCCGACGACTTCGCCGACTTCAAAGAAGCCACTGCGTCATCCAACTCCGCCCAGGGTTAGTCTTCCCTTAGTCTTCGTGGCTTGAGACTCCCCGTTCCCCACCCCTCTTTCCCCTCTCTTTCTCTTACCCTTCCCCCCTCTTCTTGTCTTACCTATTCCCCCTCTTTTATCATCTCCCTTCTCTTCCTCTTACCCAATCCCCCCTCTTCTTCTCTTACCTATTCCCTCTCTTTTATCCTCTCCCTTCTCTTCCTCTTACTCATTTCCCTCTTCTTACTCATTCCCCTCTCCCTTCTCTTCCTCTTACTCATTTCCCTCTTCTTTTCTTACTCATTCCCCTCTCCCTCTCCCATCTAACCAATCCCCTCCCTCCTCTCACCCCCTCCCTCCCCCTCTCTTACCCCTCCCCTTCTCTACCCCTCCCTACCCCCCCCCTCCTACCCCTCCCCTCCCTCTCTCTCACCCCCTCCCCTCCCCTCTCCACCCACTCCCTCCTCTCTCCCCCCCTCTCCCCCCTCCCTCCCCCCCTCTCCCCCATACCCCCCCACGCCATTACACCCTCTCTCCTGCCGTCGATCCTGTCCTTCGTGGGCGGCTTCTACCCCGCCCCTGAAAAAGCGTGGATGTCATAGCTGATAAGGCGGCGACTGGTGGGGCCATTAGGGGTCTCCTGACGGGGCCAATCAATGGGCGTGCGGGCGTGCGTGCGGGTGCGGGCGGGACGGACGAGTCTGCCCCTCGCTACCCCGCGCGGCCTCTCCTGCACGACGCCATCCTCCTCCTCCTCCTTCTGCTTTTCTTTCTTTATCTTCATTTCTCTTTCTCCTCCTTCTCCTTCTCCATCTCCTTCTTCTCCTTCTCTTTCTCCTTCTCCTTTCTTGTCCTCTTTTCTCCTCCCCCTCCTCCTTCTTCTTCTCCTCCTCCTCCTCTTCCTCCCTCTTCTCCTCTTTCTCCTTCTCCTTCTTGTCCTCTTTCTCCTCCTCCTCCTCCTTCTTCTTCTCCTCCTCCTCCTCCTCTTCCTCCCTCTCTCTTTACCTTTCCACTGCTTCCTTCTCCTCTTCCTCCACCCCTCTCCTATTTTTTACTCCCCGTGTCTCTTTCTCCCTCTTTCCATTCCCCACCCATTTTTTCTTTCTCTTTTCTTGTTCTCCTCCCTTACTTTCTCTTCACCTTTCCTCCTCTTCCTTCTTTTCCTCTTCCTCCTACTCCTTGTCCTCTTCTTGTTCTTACACCTCCCTTTGTATTGCCTCCTCTTCCTCTTCCTCATGACTCTCCTCTACTTCTCCCCCCTCCCTCCTTCCCTCCTCCCCCACCATCCCTCCCACCCATCCTCCCTCCTTCCCTCCCTCCTCCCCTTCCTCCTTCCCTCTCCCTCCCCCCACCATCCCTCCCTCCCTCCTTACCTCTCTCCCCTCCTTCTCTCCCTCATTTCACCTCTCTCCTCTCCCCTCTCCCCTCTCCCCCTGTTCTTGACGAGGGGAGAACTCATACGGAGGAGAAGAACGAGACTGTTACTCTTGACAAGGGGCTGTTAAAGGAGGCGTTCTTGTTGGTCCTGTTGTAGAAGACCGGGTTCGTTATGCTGTCACGAGTTATGACACTATTTTCGGGCTCTGTTATTTCGGTCTTGTTCTTGTTATGGCAAAATATGTGTAGTTTTTTTCTTTCTTCTTTCTTTCTTCTTTCTTATCAATGTTGATATGGATGTCTGTTTTTTTCTTGTGTTATTTTATCCTTCGTGATATGAGCCGATTTTTTTTTTTTTTTTTTTACAATATCGATATGTTTTATATTTCTTGATCTTATTCTATGCTTTGTTATATAAACATATTTTTGTTTTTTCATTCTTTCCAATATAGACATGTAAGATGTTATCTTCTTTATCTTATCTTATCCTCCCTGATATAAACTTATTTCGTTTTTTTTCCAACATCGATATGTAATGTTTCATCGTTCTTATTCTGTCCTTCGTCATATAAACATATTTTGCTATGGCAACCGGTCAAAAAAATTTGACTTATTGTAGTCTGATGTTACAGAGATGATTTGTACTATAGTAGCGTCTGGAGGTTACAAAAAGGTCGACTTATGATGGAGGAGAAGGGGAAATGGGGGGGAGGAGGAGGGGGAGGGGGAGGGGGGAGGGGAGAGGGAGAGAGAGGAGGAGGACGAAGAAGGGTTAGGTGGGGGGTAGGGTCGAGGAGGAGGAGGGAAGACGAAGGAAGGCATAAGGAGGGGCGGTGGGGGGGGGAAGAGAGTCTAAAGCAAAAATGCCGAGAGGTAGAATTTTACTCTCAGCAAAATTGGATTTACATTTACAACTCGGTCTAAAAGGGAAAGTTTCCCCCCCGCGTAAAAGGTCCTTGTAAAAGTTTCCCGTAATGGAGTTAATGCGGAAATTGGAGTCATTACGCCGAGGAGGAGAGGTAAATCTCGAGACTCCGCGGGGTTCTCGGTCGCTCTCGAGGTCCTCCTCGGCTGGCCCTCGAGGCGCTCGCTTCTCGCGCCGGCCCTCCGTGCGCCTCGCCCTTTGTCTCTCTTTCTCTCGCTGTAGCTTACGTTCGCTGTTTCACTCTCCTCTTCTTTCTCTTTTCTCTTTCTTTTTGTCTCTTTCTTTCTTGACCTTTTTGTCTCTATGGATCGCTCATTCTCCTCTTCTTTCTCTTTCTCCTTTCTTTTGTCTCTTCTTTCTTGACCTTTTTGTCTCTATGGATCGCTCATTCTCCTCTTCTTTCTCTTTCTTTTTTGTCTCTTTCTTTCTTGACCTTTTGTCTCTCTGGATCGCTCATTTCTTTCTTTTTTCTCTTTCTTTTCTTGACCTTTTTGTCTCTTTGATCGCTCATTCTCCTCTTCTTTCTCTTTCTTTTTTGTCTCTTTCTTGACCTTTTTGTTCTCTTTGGATCGCTCATTCTCTTCTTCTTTCTCTTTCTTTTTGTCTCTTTCTTTTCTGACCTTTTTGTCTCTTTGGATCGCTCATTCTCTTCTCCTTTCTCTTCTTTTTTGTTTTTTTTCTTTCTTGACCGTTTGTCTTCTATTGGATCGCTCATTTTCTTCTTTCTCTTTCTTTTTTGTCTCTTTCTTTCTTGACCTTTTTGTCTACTATGATCGCTTCATTCTCTTTTCTTTCTCTTTCTTTTTTTGGTCCCTTTTCTTGATCCTTTCCTCTGCCATTGCTCGCTCATTCTCTCTTTCTTTTTTATTTGTCTCTTTCTTTCTTGACCTTTCTGTCGCTCTCGCTCAGTGTATTCTCTTTGTTCTTCTTCTTTTTCTTTCATTTTCTTGTCTCTTTCTTTCTT